GAAAGCTGTATTTCCCCAGACTCCTCCCTTGCTCCTATGAATAGCCATATAACAATGCTAGTCAATGAGATATAGGAAGACATCTGCCAAGGATTTATGAGCAATTCGCTTTCCTAATATAGGTTTCCTTTTCCCCTTGTCCCTTCTTACATCCTGCCTGAAATACAAAAGTGATAATCAAGACATCAGCTGTACACCACGATCAGAATGGGTTCAGAAATCATACTTTTAAGGTGAATATAGACGTGCCATGTTTCTCGTAACATGCTGTAACTTAGATTCTTCTTTCTGTCTTTCTTTCATTCTTTCTTTATTTTTATTTTTAATTTTTTTAATTTTTATTTTAAAGATGTAGGGTACAATTCAGGGTTAGTTATACCAGTGGTCATTGTACAGGTAAAATTTGGGCCTCATCTTGGTCCCCACTTCACCTGGTTTGAGATGAGGTACACTTTTTGATCAAGTGTGTCCCCCTGCTTCCCCAACCCCTCACCCCCACCGGCAGTTTCCTGTTATTGCCCATCCCTTTCTTTTAATATTATGATAAATGTTCAGGGTCTGTCTATGAGTGAGAACATGTGGTACTCAGTTCTTTTTTTCTGTGATACTTTATTTAAAATGTAAAAGAGACCTGAATCCCAGATACTATAATGTAAAAATTAGAAAATTGATACTGAAGATTATCTGGTCTCTATGAGTGGAGAAAAAGTATGTGATCTCATTTTAAGATACAAAATATAACCAATTATAACACCAACACAAAGAAGAATTTACCCCTCCCTACATGCAAATTAAATTCTCTCAGTCCTCTAATTAATCTTAAATGTGATCATTGATAGAAAAATGATATAACTTTAAAAAATGTTTCAACTACTAAAATGGAAGGTAGGTAAAGAGAGATTGGTGACCACTAAAATCCATGCCTCCTTCTAGGAAGTGGCTACTAAGGTAGGAGAATTTCTCAGCTTTCCATTGCATCTAGTGGGACTATGGGACTACTTCTCACCATTGAAATATAAGCCAGTCATGTGTGTCACTTCTGGACTGAAGAGGTAGGTGTGATGCTTCATGATCTCTTTCGCCATCTGTCAACTGACTGAGTTCCTAGAGGCAAGTGAAGTCACAAGACTGAAGGATCCTGAATCCACAAGTAATCACACGGAAGGCTACCTGTCAACCAGGAACAGCTATATAGGACCTTTCTTGAGTACCGAAAACAGTTTTATTGTGCTAAACCACCAAGATTTGGGGTATGTTTGTTGTTAAAGCTAATTTTACTCTAATTAATATAAAGAGCAAAAATTAAAATCTCACATTTTATGGGGTTAAACCTAAAAAAACTGAAAAAATACTAAAGTTATTCAGTGGGCTCAGACATAATTAAATAAAATTTTCTGCCATTAGGTAAAATGGAACATTAATATAGAAATTAAATTAACTTATAAAAATGAAGTTACAATTTTGTTCTACCTTGAGTTTGTCATTTATAAAATCTATGCCTGTCAGTTACTAAATACCTGTTAACGTTGCAGTCTCTAGTTAGTCTGGAAATAACCTGATTTTCTACAAAGAATTTCTTCTATTTATTTCTGTAAGAGAGTGAAATGAATACCATGTTCTGTGAGGCTTTTCAGTGAAGCAGAGCCTAGTGCAATATACAATTGTTTTTAAATAGGTTATTTCAAGGTGCTTGTGATTTGGATTCAGAAGTCAACTGTCTTCTATAGAAAAGTTGGGTTTGACAGAACTAAGAAAGCCATCATTTCTTCCTCCAAAATGTGAGAGCTTCTGGTCAACTCAGAAGCCCTCTATAAGTCTAAAGTAAAGTTTTTGGACAGAGGGGTTATCATGCTCCAGGTTCTTTCAAAATCATTCTTTGTCCCAATATGAAGAACAGTTTTTGATCTAGAGAGATGTTCTTGTAACCGAATTGGGAGAACTTACACAGCTTTTCTGTGAACCAGTTAGGAGGCTGGAGCCACATGCTATTCACTCTAGCTAATTCCAACAACCTTGCAAGCAGAACAGAAAAACTCAGGAAAAGTCTTATTTCTAAATTAGTGAAACACCAATTTACCTCATAATTGCAGAGATTTCAAGGGCTGGAACTTTAATTCAGTGCTCACCTATTCGTCCATAGTCAGAATCTTTTCAGAAAACAAACAAACAAGACTACTTTAGACAACCTTATTTTGGGAAGTGATATGGGATGGAATGGGGTATGGAATTGTTTTCTATTTTTCATTCTGAAAGTCTGTCTACAGTTTCCTTTTCGCATCTATTTGACTACTACAGTGTTGTTATAAATCCATCTGTTTCCCTAACATTCTATTGTAAAAGTAAGATTTTTTTTTCCCCATAGAAGACAGATATAAATTAAGGAGCCATTTTGCTATTTAGGAGTTCAACTCAACATTAGACTAACGAATCACAATGAATGCTTTAAAATTTTACCAGTAACCAAAACTATATGTTAAGGGAGAATAGATATGGGGAAATACTGCCTTTGTCTTAAAAAACAGAGCCCCAGGTTTATTTGGGAGTGGCAGTGGGCTCAACTAAAAACAAATATTCCAAGCTCCCTTGCAGGAGGGAGTGGGCATTTTTCTCAATTATGACCCATAGGATATAAGTTAAAGTTTCTATGTTGTCTGGGAAAGCACATGGAGAAAGAGCTGACTCAGCTGGTACATGCCTTATGTCTTTTTCTCTTCTTGTTCTCCTGCCTGGAATGTAATCAGGATGGTGGAGGCGAGGCGATCTTCTTGAGACCATGAGGCACCAAACAGGAGGATGAAAGTCACAGGTCAAAGATGATTGAGAGGAAGAAAAATGAGCCTAAGCCCCTGAGGACAGTGGGTCTGTCAAACTGGCTTTGAAGTCCTACCTGCAGACTTAATATCACTTGAGAAAAACAAACCTCTCTATGGTTAAGTTAGTGAATGTTGGATTATCTTTTTTTTTTTTTTTTTTTTTGAGTTGGAGTCTCACTCTGTCGCCCAGACTGGAATGCAGCGGCTGCTCCCAGCCACCGCAACCTCGACCTGCTGGGCTCTGGCGATCCTTCCGCCTCAGGCTTCCAAGTAGCTGGAACTACAGGCGCGCGCTACCACGCCCGGCTAATTTTTTGATTTAGTGTAGAGATGAGGTCTCACCAAGTTGCCCAGGTGGGTCTTGAACCCGCGAGCTCAGGCAATCCACTCACCTCAGCCTCCCAAGGCGCAGGATTACAGACTGAACCACCAAACCCGGCTTGGATTATCCTTTATAAATAGCCAAACCTATACCAAGTTGAATCCATTAGAAAAAATGTTCCCAAAATTTTGTATAAGAACAGGTTCCAAGGGTTCATTTACCTTGGCAATTATTAAACTGATATATATATATATACATATATATATAGTAATAAAACATTTTTATATACTTCTTAAAATGACTCCTCAAAAAAACTCTGTTAGACCATGATTTATGTAGTTCCCACACCCGAACACATTACAAATGCTTTTCATCCTTCCATTCATTCAGCAAACTTTTATTGAGGACCCAGTCAGCATTGTAGTAGGGGCAGTGGTGCAAGGATGGAAATCACAGTGCCTGACTTCAAGAGGCTCTGTTTCTTTGAAAGGAATAAAACAGAATCTTTTAAAAGCATTCTGTGTTCCAGTTCTTTTCTTCCTCTGGGTTGTTTATTTCAGGTACATTCATTCTCCAAGAGATGGAGTAGCCTAGCTCCACAACAGCATTAACAAAACACACGGATCTGGGCCTTCAGCATGATCTATATAGCTTAATGTTCAGAATGCAATTTTATCATTTGAAAATTTAATTAAATGTTGCACCCATGTGTTCATTACATTTGTAAGAAATAATTGAAGAAAATTCTTCCATTTAAACACTTAAAGAACTTGTTTTTCCAAAATCAGACCTCTGCTAAAAGTAAAGATTGAATGTGACTCCACTTTGTTTTCTGTCATTTCTATGATTAAAAAAAAGTTATTATACATCAAATCTTTACTCTAGTGTCAAAGGACAGGTATTCGCTGTAGTATGGTGACAAAATATCAGGTTAGCATCAGGAAAAACAGTTTTCACTCCTTCCTCTGTGTTATTTAGGCACATAATTTAACTTCTCTCTACCTCAGTTTTCTTACAAGTTAAATCATGGGTTGGAATTAGATCATTGTGTTCTCTCATAGACCTAAATTCTATTTCTTCATTCTATTCTCAGTGTGATGCATTAGCAGATAGGTTTCCCAGCTTAAAGCAGAACATTAAGATTATTTTTAAATGATGCATGGCTTCTTCTCTATTTCTGTTACCTCAGGAATTATACATCTTCGCCCACATCTCAGATCAAACCACAATTTTATATATAATTAAACAATATAATGTCATCTTATATTAATAATATAATTCCACTCTACTCAGAATCAGAATAGAGGACTGGTTTTATTATTTCTAGCTTTTAAGAGTATAACTCGTATTGCACACATTTGAGATAATTGAATGAAAATTAGATGGAGAGTACATTGTTTTTAATTTGCTTTAAAGTATCAGCCAGGGATCTAGGAACAAGTCTAACAAAGATTATCTCAAAAGCACTGTGATTCCTTTGCTCCATTCTGGGAAATTGTTTTCAAAGTTTTAAAAAAGATTCATTAAATGCAAAATCACCTTAAATGAAATTCAGCTTTTATTTTTTAGTAGAGAAAATAAAAGTAATTAACACATCTGTCATTTATCTGCAAAGCACCATAGTCAGGTATCTGCTTTTCTTATCACTTGCATTAAAATTTCACAAGTTGAAATACATTTAGCACAACCTGTTTAACCCACTACATTCTGAATTGAATATACAAGAGTAAAAATGCTATCATCTTGCTCACAAACATGTATTTAAGGAACATAAACACTCATTACAAACCCTCTATTATCATCCTGCAAAACAACTTACACCCCCAAATCTATCTTGTTACATATATACATTTCCCTCTACTCACCACAATGAGTTAAAAGTAGACAAAAGCCATCCGTGGCAGCCTTTGAGTTATTACTTTGGTTTACCACTTCCTTCATTTTAGGTGTCATGGTACGAAATTGTACAGACAGCAGTTCATTCTGTTAGGTTAACAGCAAACACCGAAAGAGATATCTTGCACTCACTGGAAGATTTAGGTTTTATGCTTCTGGTCATTCTTCCCACAAAAAGAATGAGACCCGTTCCTGAGTTATTCTTAACCCTCCTTCCAAAATATTTCAAAAGAGAAAGACAAGAAAGACTTTGTGATTTCCATGCAAACTCCCAGCCTGCCCGCCTGCCTGCTGCTGCCAATACTTCTTACTCTTGCTGGTGATGACATTCAGCGAGCTCCCCAGCACTGGTGCTTTGTTATGTAAGGCTGTCTAGGTCAAGTGTAGGAGACACACTGCTGGCCTGTGGAAACTCATGGAACTGTTCCTACAGATTAACACTTCAGGGGCTATGGAAGCTGGAGGAAGCTGAGCTTTTACTACATCTTTTGGGGGTAAATATTTTTGCATGATTCAGTGATTTATGTACTATAGTTTTGGCAGATGTCTGTCAGCCATGCTGAGAGGTGCAGAGAGAAATTACTGAGATTCCAGTTCTGTCAGCATGCTTGAACAAGCATAGTAAGTCTTCCAGTAATCCTAGCTATAAGACACTTAAGAGAGCAAATAAATTGTAAATTAGAATTTGCTTATCAAGCATTATCTCTAACCATCGAGGAATAAATGTTGGTTTGATGTTTAAACTATGTGATCGGAGGTGTTGTAGGAGAGCATTATTAGATGTGGCTATTAGCTCAAAGAGATTTACTGCAGTTCTTGGCTGTTATGTTGCCCTTGTCTCTGGCTGCAAATTTGCTTCCCTTGTAAATGAGCTATATGTCTGCCTGTCTTTGTCTTCTGTTGTGATTGTTTGTGATAATGTAAGAATGGAGCCTTTGTAACCTGGCAGTTATGTGACCTCAACAAATAATAAATCCTGCCTACTTAGTTCCAAGGTGAATACTGCAGCAAAAGCGCCATTTGATACTAGCACGGAAGGAGGGTGGGTTAACTGCATTGGCTCAAACTGTGCTGTGTTTAGAAAACTTAGAGGGATGATCCCAGGTTTGACATGACCAGTTGTTCACCCTATGAGTAAAAGTAGAAACAGTGCAGCACTGATTCTGTTTTAGACTCTTACATCGTGTCCTGCTATAAGAATTAGTTAAAATAGCAGGCTCTTGAATGCCGCAGGAAAGCCTGAAGAAGTATCATCGTAAGATTGCAGCAGCAGGGTGATATTGGCAAGGAATTTTAATAAGATTCAACCAGAGAGGATGATACAACAGATGGCACCTAGTTTAAAAGATAGATGGATATTTTAAAAGTTGAAGGTAAAATGCAGCACATTTGAGATGGTTTGGCTTCCTATGTGCCCTTGGCAAGTGAAGTCCATTGCCTTGGACAGGATGACATGAATTAGGAGAATAAAGACTGTATAAACTGTGTACATGATCTCAAATGGCTAAATGGAAGGTTGACTGCTCAGTCATTTGTTTGGGTGTCTCTAAAGGAAGACTGGCATGAAATGGATTAATTAGCCCAGGTAACTCTTCAGGTAACAGGTAGTTTTAAAGTATTTAAAATTTATTGCATTTTTAAAATTAAAAAGTGAAAATTAGTGTTACTGAAATAAATGTCCTTGAGGGTACATTTTACTCTATTAACCATGATTAACAGTAGCACATTGATTATTTATAATGGAAATAGACTGCTTATAATTTTATACTATATTTAATTGATTAAACAAGGATATGTTTTTCCAAATAATTTGAAGAGACAGTTATGGTCCCTCAGGGCCTGATTTTATATTACTGATGTCAATAGATATTTTCCCTATAGACAGAGTTTGGCACAAGAGACCCATGAGACTAGGTTTTACTCAGTTTGGCATTTAGACTATTCTTCATAAGATTAATGTTAAAAATTAAGCATACATACTTAATTGTACTTAAAAATAATTGAGCTTATATATCTTTAGGATCACAATGTCAGTACTCAATTTGCCTGTAAATGATTTTCATTTAATACAGTTTTTTTGTTTGTTTGTTTGTTTTGAGTTGGAGTCTCACTCTGTCGCCCAGACTGGAGTGCAGTGGCCACTGCCGGCCACCGCAGCCTCAACCTGCTGGGCTCCGGCGATCCTTCCACCTCAGCCTTCCAAGTAGCTGGAATTACAGGCATGCACTAGCACGCCCGGCTGATTTTTTTTTTTTTTTTGATTTATTGTAGAGATGAGGTCTCGCTGCCCAGGCGGGTCTCGAACCCGCGGGCTCAGGCAATCCACTCACCTCAGCCTCCCAAAGGTGCGGGATTACAGGCTGAGCCACTGAGCCTGGCTTAATACAGTTTTTATTTACTATTGCTAAAAGGGATTTTTTGTGGTAACAAGTTTTAAAGGCTAATTTCCTCACTTTTAAGGTAGGGAGTTTGAATTACATGAGTCTAAATTAGTTGTAGTTCTGCCAACTGTATGATTATGTTTTCTCTGTAAATAAGAATTAGCACCATCAATTAATTTATTCTACAGTGAAATTATATTTTTTGGTCAGATTATATCCTTAAATCCTTACAATATTAGGCCAAAATTTACTAGGTACCTATCAAATGGTAGGTCAGTGGTTTTCAAAGTGTGGTCTCCCAACTAACAACATCAGCATCATCTGGAAACTTGTTAGGCATACAGATATGCAGAACTTACTCCAGACTTACTGAGTCAGAGAACCTCAGGAGTGAATCCTGACATTAGCGTTTTTATAAGTCCTCTGTCCAGGTGATTGTGAGGCATGCTAAACTTTGAAAACCATTATGCTGGGTGGTAATTTGATAAAATGTTATGAATATGGCTTGTACTATGTTATATATGGTCAAACATATATAACATAATTGAAGTCTCCGTTTTCCCTTTTGCCTAGATATCCTAATGTAAGCAGTATTATGTTTTAAAAGTTAATGCAATTATTTAGTATGTCTCATGCCTAAATATGTCCATAAAAATCTCTTTTTCCAACATTTCCGTTTCAGAACTTTAGCTCTTAGAAGTTAAATAGTGTGATGGGAGAAACACTAAAGGACTTATCTGTTTGCCAACTGTGTGACCTGGCACATGTCACTGACCCTCTTTGATGTTCAGTTTCTCATTTATAGAAAAGAGAAGTTGACTTAAGTAAGAGTATTTCAGCTCAATACCATTGGCATTTTGGGGTCAGATATTTTTTGTTGTGGGGTCTGTACTGTGCATCAATGAATACTGAGCAGCATTCTGACTTCTACTCACAAGGTGCCAGTGATGATAAGATATTTCCAGATATTGACAAGTATCTCCTGAAGACAAAATTGCCCCGTTGCCCATTTAAAAACCCTTGACCTAGGTTAATTCTCCTGTTAAAAGTTCTATTATAGTAAATAATATAACAGATGTATTATTTCTCCTTTTGAAAGCAGACAGGTTAGAAATTACAAATAAATAAATGTATGTAACCTAAGTATAAGATAGGACCTTTTTGCCCAATTGAAGATCTCGGTATAATTTGCTCAAATACCTACCAATTCCAGTCTGTGGAAGTCTAAAACCCGTCTGCAACTTCTCAAGGACTTAAAGTCTGACATCATCCACTGTGTCCTGAAGTCCCGGTTCCACATATACTACCTCACCCCTCTCCCAGGTGACCCAAATTCCATCTGTCACTAGTGTTTAACAAAGATTTATCTGCACACATTACTTTTTTGATATAATAAATTTCATCAAAGATGTGGGCTTCTCTTCTTATTCTCTCCCCTCTCAGTCCCATCTCTGCTTCTTACCCTCCTCCCTGCAAGATCTGAACTCTCCAAATTCTTCTCTTTCTAGTATGCAGGATAGTCCGGCTTTCCACAGCTCTTATGTCCAAAAATAGATATCCAAACTCATCAAAGAGTTTAGAAGATGAAGGTCTTTCAATTTAGGGCATCAACCATTCACAGAAAGCAGTTTATTATATAATCATAAAACCATAGGGCTGAAAGGAATATTGAATTTAAGTTAATTTTCATGTGTTTAGAAGTCATATTCAATGATAGCTCTTGGCCCTTAAAATTATACTTATTATAAACTAGATCTCAGAATTTTAAATTATACCTTTCCACAAATTTTATTATCTCAAACAATTCAACAATTCAGTCCAGACATTTTCTGTGACTAATATGCACACACACACACACACACACACACACACACACACACACACACATTTTTTCCCAAGAGTTAAAAATTCTTTTCAACACATTGTCCTATAAATTCAAATTGTTATTCTGAGATATCTATGAATTAAGGAATTTAATCTACAATATAGATAGCTATTTTTCTATTAATCAAAATAATAATGTCTTATATCTGAATAACTATATCTGTATTTCCAAGTAATTTTATAGACATGATACTTTCTAAGACCCACAGCAACCCACAACAAGATAGACTTGGTTAATTTTACCAGTTTACAGTAAGAAAATAAAAGCTCAGGATCACCTAAAGCCAAATCTACTTCTCTTTCCACTATTCTACAAGGCAAGACTCAATAATATGTAGTCTGAACACATTGATAAATATAATATTTAAGTGATTTTTGATAAAGACCTATCTCAAAAGTCTTCCTGCTCTAAGTCCTTCAGAGATGTTACCAATTCTCTGCTTTAGTTCCTAGGGTTAGTACATTTTCCCTGACCTATCATATATTTATTTATATAAAATACTTAACAGTTTTTATACGTGCTATGTAACAATTTCAACACGCCATTTATTATACTAGTCACAGTCACATATGTTCTGTCACTTAGTGCTCTCAGAAACTCCATGAGGATGGAATTATTTCCCTCTTAAGAGATACAAGATTGAATTAAATTCACCTAAACTTGGGCTTAGTCGAGTTACTGCACTGATGACCCAACCATCTGCTCTGTCTTCTCCAGTCAAAATGGAGCATGTGGTAACAGACCATCTCTTTTTTTGCTGGTACAGCCTAGCAATTGGCATCTAGAGAGTCTCAGTCTTTTTTTTTTTTTTCAGAAATACTAACTATTGGCATTGCTATGTAGTTCCTTTATATCTTATACTTTAACACTATTCACCTTAGTCAAATAAGTAGCAACTTGCAAATGGGATCTAGAAGAACTAAAATATAAATTCTGAAAAGAAGTTTTCACAA